ATCATACTAAGATATCATACTAAGATATATCAATTCTTAGTCCGATAAGAATTGTTATCACTACAAGAAGTAGAAAAGTAACTAATTTCAATTAATAAATCATCTTTTCTTCAAAAAAAATAGTTATTTGGACGATTGTGGTTTTATTTCCTATAATAATTCTTAATATTATAGGATTCTTATTTTCTACCCAATGTTATGTACTTTAAGCAACTTAAATCAAGATAAACTTACTTTTAATGTTTTTATCAATATTTCTTTATATCCTTATCAATTCTTATTTCTTATGCCTACACTACATATAACCTCTAATATATTGATTTCAAGCATCAAATTCATGGTTAGGTATTTTCAATGCAAGCGGTTGGCACATTAAAACATCGATTTTGAGTTTTCACTCCTCTTGATTATCAGGTATATTTTCTTTCAATACATTTTTTTTAAAAGGCATGTTGATCTTCAATAATAAAATACAGGGATATGTTAAAAGTCTTAGCAAAGTGATGCAACCAGTAGTGCTTGGTTTGTTATATTTGATCAAGAGGCTGAAAGAATAATAGATACAAACTTCCTTTTGTTCTTGAAGAATTTAACAAGATAAACTTATATCTAATTTTTTAAAATATTTTTAATAATAGTAGACAATCCGACACTTAATTATCTCAGCCATTGAATATTCTAACAAAAAAAAATCTATTATGCATTTCATTTTCAGGAAGGATTTAACAATTAAATCTTGTCATCAATTATAAATAAGATCACGTGGAAACCTTTTGTGTTCCAAATCAAGTTGAACAATTACAATCTGGAACAAAGTAGTAATAGATTTACAGTGACTAGATGGTTCCACTGTGATTTTAAGAGGGAAATGCATTTCATGCTTTCACAGGTAATGTGCAATAAATTTCTCTTATATTTCACATATTATATCTCACATAATATTTTTGCCTTTAATTTTGATAAATCATTATCAGATTGGTGGAACCGACAACCAATACCAACCTGAAGTATCTTCTTCCCAGATCCCAATTAGTATAACAGATGATTCTAATCAACAACATTTCAATGCACTTCATATGAATTATTTATCAGAGGGTTCAACAAAAGTCACAGAGGAAGGGAATCCTCATAAAAAGATTTGCATGAGAAGGTAGATTTAATATACTATCAAACTTTCAAACTTTTCAAAAATTCAAAATGATTAAAAACTTATAATATGACAAAATTTTATTACATATTTTACAAGGTTATCTGAAAAGTGAAACTACTTTTCATAGTATTTTAAAATATATAAATACAAAAAAATTTAAATTATACCTATAATCATTTATTATATAGGTATATTACGAGTACTTACTAAATAAGGTATTAAGTTTTAATCATTAATAAAACATCTTATCATTATTTCAAATAAACTTTCTAATACTAGATTGAGATAATTTTTTTTATGTAAAATTGTACATGTATTTCAAAAATCAGTAAGTTTTGATCATTAATCAAATTTACCATGTTATTAGTAAGAATTACTATTTATGTATAAAAACTTACCATTACTTGAACTAAACTTATTCTCTAAAAAGTAAGTTTGGGATATAAAGCAGTAATTTATTTATATAAAAAGTAAGTTTAATCTTTATTCCAATTTACCTTTTGAGGTATAAAAATTACTAATCTATTAAGGTTAACTTACTATTTTAGATGGGAAACTTACTTTCATAGTTTTAGGTGTTATCCTATTTTGATGAATAGGTCTAACAAATAATCAAATGACCGCTAAAAGTGCAACAACCTATTATATTAGGTAAAAACGGTTTCGTTACCATAACTATCGTTACTAAAGCATTGTGTCAAATAGGCCTTCTAACAAATCTTCAAATCTTGAAAGCAGCGAACAATAGGTAATGTGTGAAATATCTGAATTTTATTCTTTTACTCAAGCAATATAACTCGTAAAGAAGTTTATGGAGATAATTGTTTTTTCTTTCCTTCCGTAGTTTTTGGTTATGTTGTCTCATGTTTTCTTTAGATGATTATGAACTTCATGTCCTGAGCTTAGATGGTTGACTCTGACACTCCATTTGCTTTTTTTCCATATCGAAAGAAAGTAGACAGGATTAGTTCCAAAAGAAAGCGTAAATATATCACTCAGTACCATGAATTCTAAAGAACATATTTAATGCTAAATGCAGGATAAACGATATTCCTGCAAGCATAGGGGAATGCATTTCTCTTGTTGAGGTAAAAGTCTCCTTCGTCTCTACCAGTTTTTCTCTCATTTTTCCTCTTTTTATTTTTTATTTTCTATATACATTCTGTAAAGCCATTTGCCAAACGGCCCAAACCCGAATAACAAAGAAGTAAGCTTTTCATGTTTCCTATGTTTGCTGTTCACAGTTCCCTATCTCAGAATCTCGTCATTTGTTGTTCTGCAGGTTGATCGCTCATCAAATCTCCTGGTAGAATTACCAGAGACATTTGGGAATTTAAAAGATTTGAAGGTCTATCTACTATCCTTTGTTATCTTGGAATTTCTTTATTCTCGTATCCCTCTTTATTTCAAATTGGAAGTAAAAGTAAGATACGGAATACTAACATCAAGCCTTGCTACACCAAAAAGAGGGCAAGTAATGCAATTTATCTTTTTCAAGTATATGAATTTGGGATTTGCCCTTGCTCAGTGAAGCTTGTAGGTGCTTTTAGAACTTCCAGACGTATCAGTAGATTGCCTTACTAATAAAAGCTGTGCAATGTTTCTTAAATTGCCGCGATAGTGACACTCTATATTTGCCCCCATCTTTTTCTGTATTGCAGGCTTTGTATGCAAGTAATAATGGACTGAGATCCCTCCCCAGTATCCTATTTAAAATGTGTAGCCAACTTTCGATTCTGGATCTGCATGGGACAGAAGTAACAATGGATGTTCTTCGCCAGGTTCCTTTTCTTCTCCAAATCATATGTGATTCAGATCCCCTCATTGTATTCAAATTTATGTATGAATCCATTTTGTTTCTTACAGTTTCAAGGATGGGATGATTTTGATAATCGCCGCCGCTTGAAACATCAGAAGCAGCTGGATTTCCGAGTTGGTCAGCTGAATTTGATGAAGGTGCTGACTACAGCACGGAGCTGCTAGTTGAGACCCTCGCCGGTTAAAGACCTACACAATAGTAATGTAGGAAAGTCATAGTCTGTCCATTCAAAGTTCCCAGCTGCCAAAGGATTTTGTTGCCTGATGGTTCCAAGGCTGTTCATAGATTCATTTCCATACTTTCCTGGGCAAAATTAGGCTATATGATTGATTGGAGAAATTTGTCCTTGGGGATCAGTCTTTTGGGCCACCAAATCTGTCCAAACCCAGTTACGTAAAACAAGCGAAATGAAGGCCAAACCAGGGATTTGGACAAAGGAGCTTGTAGATGAATGGGCCCTTATCAAGCGACATCTGTCTCTCCAGCCCACAAACAACTTCTGTTGTGGCCCTGGGAGAGATTGAAACAAATAACCTCCACCCCCCCGAGCATCGGTGGCAAAGCCCAAAGCATGATATATATGAATAGTTGTATTTAGGGGGTTAGCATGAGGCCCCATTATTAGGTTTGGACAAGCCCCACCACTTGAATAAGTAGCCAATGAAATTTCATGTTGTTCCTTCCCTCGAATCAATAAATTTTGAATTAATTTTTTAAAAAGAAAATTTTCTTGAGTTAATCTTTTTTTTAAGTAATTTTAAGTTAATTTTACATACATTGACAGTATGCATATATACAATAACAATTGAATGCATGATATATATATACAAATATAAAATTTAAATTCAAATTAATTGTTGTTCATATTTGATTGAACGAACGTGTTGTATTCATAGACTTGTTTCATGAAGATTAATTCATAATCATTTTTTATGTAATAAAAGAAGACAAATTTGATGATGGTACTCGGTGCTTCACGTTTCTCTCAAAACAAAAAAAAATCATCTTGAACGGGTATTCCATGAAAGCATAATTGTACATTTAAAGTTTTATTTCTACAAAATGGAACTACTAGTGAGTAATATCAACAACCATATATAAAGTATTATCTGATTCCTGCACTTTTCCTATTGGGGTAACAACCTTAATTGCGTGAGAGGCCCCCGCCCAGCCTTGCATTTGCCTGCCGTGTCCAAATAAAAGAAGGAATTTTGCATTAAACCAAAGAACGAAAAGAAAGCTGCCATTTTCGTGGTTTTTTTTTTTTTGTTTTTTTGTACTGTACGCTATTTCACCATCTTTTGTGTGGGCAGGATTGCTTCTTGGTTAGGAGTGTCAACGGATCAAATTTTTGAATTCGGACACATTTTATGTAATAGACTCGGACTCGATCTTTATATCCGATGAGTTTTGATCTTAGAGTCCCGAAATCAGGTACGATGGATCCTGATCAGGTTGGATTCGAGTTTAAAAGGTTCAAATTTAAATATTTCAAAATTAAATCCAAAATCAATCATAAATTCAATTTTCAAATTTAAACAAATCAAATTATAAAACTAAATCACAAATAACTCGCAATAGTCAATTTAAAATTAACCACAAATCAATCTATAGAGTCATTACTAAATTGTTAATTTGATAAAAGAATATATTTATAAATATTTATATTTTATAATTATTAATATATTATTCGAATTCGAGTCAAATATGGGTCGAAATCCTATATTCCACCCTTTTTTATTAGAGTAATTGGATTTGGATCCGGATATCGGAATTATTTTTCGACCCAAACCCGTAAAATTTGCCGGATACATTATTGACACCCTTATTCTTGGTATAATCAGTTCCCATACCCTCAGCCGATCCTCAGCTCCTTTTAGTATCCAACAATGGCGTGGTCCTTGGCTGCTTGCTTATTTATATTTGTACTCCTCCTGGAGCTCAAAACCCCCGGGTAAAGAATGATTCTCTGATTGATTGATTTTTTTTTTTTTTTATTATTTTGGGTTCTTTCTACTAGGACTACTTCAAGTCATCGGAATTGTCCCCACAAGCCTCAAGTGGTGGGGTGAGGAGCAGAGGAAGTGTCGATTACTTGGGACGGAGCTTCTGAAAAAATGAAGCTCTCAGTATTAATAGTGGGGACGGTTTGTTGTTTAATCAAAATGTTAGGATGCAGACAACTAGGCCCGCTTCCCTTGTTTTATCTCATCCTAAACAGTAAACACCACATACTTCAGTTCTATCTTCCGTGTCTCGATATATGTGTTATCATGCGTTTATAGTACCACAAGTACAACTTGTTTGCTCTTTTATTGCTCTGATATCTAGATTCTGTTATTTACAGAGGGAATGTGAAAAAAATGTATTTTTTAAGAATCTTTTGCGGTGGTTGTTCCTGTATAGTATTTTGTGATTTTGCCTCAGAAAAAGGAAGACAATGGTGCTAGATTGTGGAGGAGATGAGTCCAGAACTATTAAACAGAAAAAGAAAAAAATGAAAAAGATGCTAAAGTACCCAGATACAGATATTAACTTCTACTGGTACGTGAGACTGAATAATCCTTATGTTTGCGATTTGGACAGGGGACACTTGACTCTGGATTTTGGTGGTTCCAGGGCTCACTTTCATTATTGGCAAAGTGTATGAAATTTGCATAATTTTTGTTTACATAGGAAGGTGGCTGTTTGCTGTTAGAGAGTTTGGTCATTTTTTATGATTACAAATGTGATGCACAAGTATTGACAGATTGATACAAGGCGAACCTTTTGTAGAATTATTTTTACACTAACATCACATCCACATTGCAGATTCAAGTCGTCAATCTGGAATCATATCTCTAGCTATTAATTGGTCACATAATTGCTGTTTGTAAGTTGTAACATAAGATTGAACTCGGAAGCCTGACATGCTACTTTAGCACTTGGCAAATATTCCTCATTTATAATGGTTGAAAGTATAATGACTTTCATAGTTTTTCACTCTACATTTCCTTCAAGCTCTTTTTAGAACCCCCTCCCCCCCGCCTCTCCATCCCTTTTAACAGCATTCGCTATTAGATGCAACTTGCATTTCAGATATTTAATGCCAATGATCATTCGTAAATGTATTAAGACTCAGTTCTGTGTCTTGTATTCCTCCAAGAATGTGCTTTTTTCAATAAAATTAAATGTAGAAGAAATGGAAGGAATAAATGAATTCAAGTGTCCTCTCTAAAACTTCTACTCTGGGAGATTTTTGTGTATTCATTCTACATTGTTTCTCTGATTAGTAGCACAAATTAACACTATTACCTTGTGAAGGAAAAGCAACATGATTATGCTGGTCAAGTATATTCTGCTCCCACATTGAGCAATGAGGAAAAGGAAGTTGCTTGTGGGAGTTTGATGATGAAATTTGATCACATTACTCAAAACTGATATCTTAGTTTCATTTTGCGATGTTGAGATTATATGATAAAGTTAGACAACTGCAATGTTACTCATCTTTCACCCTATAATCTTGTTTCATCAAATTTCTAGAATTTCTATCAACTTCTTTAATGACTTGGAGTTGATTTTCTCTTTCATGTGTTGATGTCTCTCTATCTTCTCATTTTGAAGCTAAATGGTTTGTTCAGTTTTTATTATGAGATTCTTTTTTCATTAGAGGTTCTTGCTAAATTACTAAAGAAGAAAACTGAACTTAATTTTTGGCTGTAAGGTTAATATGATTGTTCATTTTATCTATAGTAATCCATCTCTTTACCTATTTATAGTAAATCCTAGCTGTATAATTCCAAATACTATGTTGTTCCACATGACTAATTAAATGCAAATTGGTCAATAAGAGACTAACTTGCATGGGATACTTCAGTTAACTCTCTGGATATCTGGATGACTTAATGTGCGGGAAGTTACTTGCCTACAACAAAGGAATGACGAGGTGAGATGGGATAAGTCACCATCAGATGTTGTATATGTTATTGAAAAAGATATTTTGTAAATTTAATTGCTCCTGGCTATGATTGCATACTAGTGGTCAATTCTGCTGAAGCTACCGGAATATTGTGGGACTATAAAACTCATTGATGAGCTTTGACCTTGAGTATATGTCTTTGATCTTGGTGGTAAACTAACAAAAGTTCCTCGGAAATAATATTGTTCATGTCAATGCTTGTGAATTGGGATTCATAGGGTCATGCTGCTATAAGTAAGAAATAGATTTTTACTTATTTCTTCGCGAAGCACTAGGCTTATGTATTATTATCCCCTTCCCTCCTCTATCACATCCAGTCAATGTGTTTTAAGATTTTTGTATTTTAAGATGGTTGGTGACAACATATGTTCAATTGGTGATGCAATTTCATGAATTTATCTGATAATTGTCTACTAATAATATACTTCGTATACGTTAACTACAAATGAGAGAAAGTCAATTGTTAAATTCTTACTTCATTTTGATGTTATGGCATGCCGTCTTGCCTTGTTGTTGTGCTATCTCTCATCAATGGTTGATGCTTTTATCAGTTCTCTTTTCTTTCCTTTGAAGTCATTTATGTCCATCCAATACCTAATCATTTTTAGAGATCAAATCATATGACATGTTTGACATGCTAGAGAGTGGTTTCAATTAGACTCTGTATGTTATCATGATTCAGACATTGCTTGTAGCAGTAATGAATACTTGATGTGAAGCACATGACTAATCCAAATTATTCTGAAATACCTAATGGCCAACAATTGTTGGATTCTAGCCTAATTCTGGCTCATGATTATGTTAAAATTCTCTCTCTCTTCCTTTCTGTACTTCTGAGTATTGTCAATTGAAAATATTTGTGGGGGGACTTGTGAAGAAGAAAGATCAAGTTGCTGCAACTTTTTAGACTTTACCCATTATTTGACCCCTTTTCTCCTTTGTTATTGAGTTAAAGTACTACCCCTCAGTGTCGGAGAAAAACTTAGAAAGCTCCAATTCTACGCATACTCTAGCAGATAGGAGGAAGTTCTTTTCCTGTCTTCTTTTTGCTTTTGTTCTACATAACGCCTCTATCTGCTAAGTTTTAGGATTCATATTCACTTCCCATTTCCTCCTTTTTTTCTATTTTAGTATTTTAAGATTCTGCACGTAAGTATTTTATGGAATTAATTCTTTAATTTGTTAACAAGTTAAAAAAGATGAAGTGCTGGGAAACCATGGAGAACATATTCTCAAAATCATAATGCAACGTGGTGAATTGTTATCGACAATCATATGTTCTGTTTGATGGCATTTTCTGGTGCAATTTAGACTGAAGAGTCATTAGAGTAATTAAAAAGTAAATTTGCATGAATTTAGAAAAGTAACCAATAAAGAAAAAATTTTGACAAAGAGTTCTGGACAGAATAAAATATAGGGAACAGAATAAACTAGGAAAGTAAGCTGCCAATATACTTGCAAATTCTAATAGATTCAGGGTTGAAGTGTCGTTTTGAGTCAGAATGTCTGCTTCAATCTGCAGGTCTACCCCAAATTAAAGTGAGAAGAAAGATATTCTCTGCTAACAGGGATGCATTTCACTAGCCAGCCAATTGGCCATGATAATGCAGCAATCGTAATGCATGCAAGCCATTGTTCCCAGTTCAGTCTCTCAGTGTTCGCAAACCTGTGCAAGAACTCCACCATAATCACTTGAAGAACCACTGTAATTCCTACTATGCCAATGAATAGTTTGTTCTTCTGTATTCCTTCAAATATGTTCTTCCTCTCCAGCTTTCTTGCATTGAATTCGTTGAAAAGTTGGCAGAGGACAAAGCTATTGAAAATGATGGTGTCCTTAACCTTCTTGTTCACACCAAAGATTGAGCTTCCTCTAAACTGTAGAACCAATAAGACAGTTACCTGATAAAGAGCCTGAGCCATGAGATTTCGCCACATGATATTGGTTATAAGGGGTTCACTTCGACCTACAGGTTTTTTATCCATGAGGTCATCAGTGGGTTGTTCAGTTGCCAAAGCCAAGGCCCCTAGAGTATCCATTATGAGATTCACCCAAAGAAGCTGGACAGCTGTGAGTGGTACTTCACCTGATGATATTGCAGCTACGAAGTTGATAACCAGGGCTGCAACATTCACTGTGAGTTGAAACTGGATAAACTTTTGGATATTGTAATATACACATCTGCCCCACTTCAGTACTGTTATTACGGAATTGAAATTGTCATCCAAGATCACAATATCCGAGCTTTCCTTTGCCACCTCGGTGCCTTGTATTCCCATAGACAGTCCAATATCTGCTTCTTTCAGTGCAGGGGCATCGTTGGTTCCGTCACCTGTGACTGCTACCACCTGGCCTTTCTGCTTCAAACTTTGTACCATCAGAAGCTTGTCAAAGGGGGTTGATCTTGCCATTACCAAAATGCCATCAATTTTTTCCATTCTTTCTTCTGGTGAGTAATTTCTGAATGTTGCACCTTCAACTATTGCATTGTTCAGATCTTCGTTGGATTTGAGAATTCCACAATCCAATGCTATTGACCGGGCTGTGAAAATGTTGTCTCCAGTGATCATTTTGATGCTAACTCCAGCTTTTCTGCAAGATTCTACAGCAGCTTTGACTTCTGGTCGACAAGGGTCCTTCAAACCCACAAACCCTAACAATGTCAGTCCAGTATCTGGAAGATGTTGACATTTTAGTTGACTTTCTTCTGTAAGCCTTTTGCATGCAAAAGCAATGCAACGTAGGCTTCTGCCTGCCATGCCCTGTATTATTGTTTCAAGTTGCTTTTTCTCTTCGCCATCAATATCTATGAGCATGCCACTTCTGACATAATAATTTGAACACATAGCCAAAATCATCTCTGCTGCTCCCTTCCAGTGCACATGAGTTGTCCTTGTACTACTATTGCTCCTCACCAACATCCCGCTCCTTTTTTTCTCAGAATTGAAAGGTTCTACATGGACAATTTCGTTTGCATGCTTCACTTGCTGGATGTTCACTTGCATGTCAGAGATGGCCCAGGAAAGGAGAGCTGACTCAGTTGGGCTACCAGAAATTTCTGGACAAACAGAAGTGGATGATACATGTACTTCTCCTGCAGTATTTAAGCCAACACCTTGTTTTATCAATTCAGTAACATCTGGGCTGATTTCTAGTGATTTTTTTTCCTTCCATGACTCCTTGCCTAACCAAAATTCAGTGACCTGCATCTGGTTCAGTGTGAGAGTGCCAGTCTTGTCGGTGCAGATGGTTGTGGCAGAACCCATTGTCTCACAAGCAGATAACCTCCGGACCAGGGAATGATCAGCCATCATTCTTTTCATTGAGTAAGCGAGGGTTAGTGTCACAGCCAGTGGCAAACCCTCTGGAATTGCAACTACAACAATTGTAACTGCTAAGGCAATGATACGAACAGCAGCGTTCATGATGTGATTGGCATTGGTCTGGCCTTTAATAAACTCTTTTTTCCCACTTTCATCAAAAGTATGTCCTGTAAAGTAACGTATCATCAGAACCATTAGAACGAGGAAAGCCACGAATAATCCTACTTTTCCAATATAAGATGTTAGCTTGTTTAGCCGGGCCTGTAACGGTGTCTGTTCATTCACGTTCTGAGTTATCGAACTCATCATCTGACCCCATGTAGTTTTCATGCCTACAGATGTAACAAGCATGTGCCCATAGCCATCCATGACCTTTGTACCTGACAGCAAAAAAGGGTTCTCGGTCTCATCGATCTCAACCTGGTCGCTTTCTCCAGTCATGCTAGATTCATCAACCTTCATTGAATGGCCATCCAAGAACAAACCATCAGCAGGAATATGGTCTCCAGTCTTCAAGAACACAATATCCCCCACAACAACATGGAAGATTGATATGTGTTGCCTCCGCCCATCTCTCACAACTTCCACCTCAATGTTACTATTCTCGTTAGAAAGCTGCAAGAATTGCCTGCTCTGTTTGAAGTTGCTGATGGCAGAGACTGCAAGAACCAGCACAACAGCAACAACTATACTTCCTCCATCGTACCACCCTTCTTTTAGGCCATGCTGCTTGATTCCAAAGCTAAGAGATAAAGCCGCACACAACAGAAGTATGATAATTGTGGAATCTTTAAAGGCTTCTACAAGGAAACTCATAAAGCCTTTCACAGGCGCCTTCTTGTAAGTATTGGAACCAAACTCGTCAACCCTTTTCTGAATGCTGCCCTGGTCTCCAGAAATACCATTCTTTTCATCAGTTTCAAGGATTGCTGCAAGTTTCTTGGTTCCTCCATATTTGCTCAGATCATCAAAGTTTTTGTCTTTAACCAAGTCAGCAAGTACGCTTTTGTCAACATCGAGAAAGGGTTCATGATCAAGATGATGACTATTACTGGGATCAATATCGATCGCAACATAGGATTGAGTACGTTGCAAGATAGGGCGAAAAGCTAGGGCACTCGTAGAAGCTGCTTTCTTGGATAAAGAAACTACAAAGTATGTGGCTCTAAAAACCAACTGCAATCTCTTCTGGGCATTTTTGTTGCAATAATCTTTGCCAATAATGACCATGGTGTAAGGAAGGCTTCAAGAATAAGAAAAAGAAACAAACTTTGTGATTTGGTGGGGAAAAAAAGGAACGAGTAATGCTCTACTGTTGTGATTTCAAGGACCAAAAGAAGACGACAAAAAGAGGCTCTGTTAGGCGCAGGATGTTAATCGTGTTTTTATAACCGTCCTCCTGAAGAAACTTCTATGCAATTTCATAGTTTCCTGTATTCTTAACTGTGGTAATTTTTTTTTGGAAGTTTACTTCTTCTTTTCTTTAAGTTACCGACTTGAAAATGGCTCGAGAAATCGATGAAATTTCTTTTTTCATTTCCTCTCAAGTTCCAACCCATTCTTACTCCGATGTTGAGTGAGATTTTCGAGAAGTATGGTAGCTTGTAACGTGAGTTGACTACACTTTTGACTTTAAAAGATTTGTTGTCTCTTTTTTTTTTTTTTGTTGGCTATGAATATATCATGAAACTTGAAAGTAACTTCTTTCATACATACAATGAAGTTTCATGGAAAGTAAGTCTAAACCCATATCCTTTGCATGTACATACAATGAAGTTTCATGGAAAGTAAGTCTAAACACATATCCTTTGCATGTACATGAACATGAAATTCATTCACAAGCGTTTAACTGTAAAAGTTCATGTAAAAGTGTAATTGAGTTTATTGGAATTGATAATATGCGCGTGAATTACCCACTTATAAAACTTGCAATTTTGTTAAAATTAATACTTATTGACTTAAAAGACTTTTGTGAGACTTGTTTGTTTCATTGACTCACAAATTTTCGTTAAAAAACGAGAGTAACTTCTTTTAAACCAATATGTACAACGAAATTTCTTGGCAAATACAAGTTCTTTTTTGAACACGTATTTATTAACATATAGTCTATGTGCAATGAAATTTCTCTTGCAATATTTATTAACCAATATGTACAATGAAATTTCTTGGCAAATCCATCTTAAATTCTTTTCTGAACACGTATTTATTAACATATATAGTTTATGTGCAAATGCAATTGCCTCCAATTGAATTGTTTGCTGATGTGGCGCTCTCCCATTAGCCAATTGGTAGTAGTACTCTAATTGATTCCAATTTAATGAGTTGTAGTCTCTTGATTCGTCAATTGGTGGTTGTCCTCTCAATTGCACATGAAAATAGTAATGTGGAGAGTTTTGATTTGTCAATTGTGATGAAATTTGGCCTTCTTCTTTTTTCCCAACGGATTTTTTTTTTTTTTTTTACTTTGGCCAATTGAATTGTTTTGATTGGTCAGATGTGAATGCAATGTCACATTTAATTATCACTTTTTAATGGTTGCTATCGAAAAATGCCCTCTTTTGCGATTAATGCTTCATTAGTTAATTAATAATTTCACCTTCTGACTGCCTAACAAGTCCTCCTCTAAATGCGTGTAGAATTGTACTAAAATTTGGCCTTCTTTTTTTTTGGTCGAACGGATCGCTAAAATTTGACCACCTTGTTTTTTTACCCCAACCGATCACATTAACAAAAAAATGGCCTTTTTTTTCTCTTCCACCAAATTGCATCTAACTACCAATACTTTGCAATTAGTTGTTAATAGCTACTTAATAATGCCTTTTTTTTGTCATCCAACTGATCGCGTTTAATTAGCGATTCCTTGCCATTAATGATTGGTCAATTGTGAAGAAATTTGGCCTTCTATTTTTCCCCCAACGGATTATTTTTTTTAAACTTTGGTCAATTGAATTGTTTTGATTGGTCAGATGTGAATGCAATGTCACATTTAATTATCTTTTTTTTTTTGCTGTTGTTATCAAAAAAATGCCCTCTTTTGCGGTTAATGGTTCGTTAGTTAGCTAATAATTTCGCCCTTTTATTGCCCAACAAATCATCCTATCAATGCATGTATTGTGTTAAAATTTGCCCCTCTCCTTTTTCCCCAACGGATCACATTAACAAAAAATTGGGCTTATTTTTTTTCCCACCAAATCGCATCGAATTACCAATCCTTTGCAATTAGTTGTTAGTAGCAACTTAATAATGCCTTTTTTTAAATTGTCATCCAACGGATCGCATTTGGTTAGCAGTTATTTGCAATTGTTAACAAAAAAAAAATGACTTTTTTTGTTGTTGCAAAAAAAAAATCGGATTTAATTATCCCTTTTTACAGATGCTATCGAAAAATGCCCTCTTTTGCGATTAATACTTCATTAGTTAATTAATAATTTCACCTTCCGATTGCCTAACAAGTCCCCCTCTAAATGCGTGTAGTATTGTGCTAAAATTTGGCCTTTTTTTTTTTGGCCGAATGGATCGCTAAAATTTGACCACCCCTTTTTTCCCCCAATGGATTACATTAACAAAAAAAATGGCCTTTTTTCCTCTTCCACCAAATTGCATCTAATTACCAATACTTCGTAATTAGTTGTTAATAGCTACTTCATAATGCCTTTTTTTTTTGTTATCCAACGGATCGCATTTAATTAAAGATTCCTTGCAATTGTTAGCAAAAAAAAAAGACTTTTTTTTGTTGCCAAAAAAAAAACACATTTAATTATCAATTTTTTTACAGATGTTATTGAAAGAATGCCCTGTTTTGCCATTAATGCTTCATTATTTAATTAATAATTTCACTTTTTGATTGGCTAACAAATCCTCGTCTAAATGCATGTAGGATTGTGCAAAAATTTGGCTTTCTTTTTTTTTTTGCCCCAACGGATAGCATTGACAAAAAATTGAGCTTCTTTCTTTTTCCCAACGAATCGCATCTGATTGCCAATCCCTTGCAATTAGTTGATAAAAACTAATTAGTGGCAACCAATTTTGGCATTTTTCTTTACTGTCCAAGAAAGTATGTGCCCTGTTTGGCACTTGAGTTTTTTGCCAAGTTTGTCTGCTACAAGTCTTTTAAAAACTTTAGTTACAGTAATCTCAAAAAATTTCTCAAAGTTTTTAAACTATGCACTTCAAAATATTCAAAAATTTACACACTTTAAAATTTTTTTTAAAAACTTCTACAATAAACTACAGTAAAGTTTTAGACAAACACCCAAAAAACTCACTTGCCAAACGGGTGTTGTCGATTTTTTGCGGTTAATTCTTATTAATGCCTGATTAATACCTGCAGCTTAAATTAACCAAAAAAATTTCTCCGTTTACTTTTTTTTCCCTGCAACTTATGTTTGCCTGTCAAATTTTTACAATTGATTGTTAACAATTAGTTATTGGCTAATTAGTACCAATATGTTGGGTTAACAAAAGAAGGCTCCTTTTTTTTGTCCTAAGACTTATGTCTAGCTATCAAGTTTTTGCAATTAATTAATTGCTCGTTCCATTTTTTACTATTGTCCAACAAATTATGTTTAGTTGTTGGCTTTTTCTCTTCATCTTTATTTGTTAACAATTAATTAATTTGTTGGCCTACGTTTTTAAACATTCAAAAAAAATGCAGCTCTGTTAATATCATCTTTGTTAAAAAAATTATCTACTTTCGTATCTTTGACTGGCAAATTGCGCTTACCCATTACTTTGCTTGATTTTAAAATGTACTTTCTATGCATTTTAATCAAATGCATCCTCAGACACCTCTTTTGATTACTTTCATTTGGTGGGGAGTTGTTGTATTTGATGTGAAAGATGGGAGCTCTATTTTACTATATTACCCAGCCTTTGTCTTTTAATTTGCTCTTTCTCTTTGTACAATTAATGGACACTGATATTGCCTGGTTTCTCCTAGCAGAAATTCGGCTACTTATCATCATGATCAGTGGTAAGTGTGCATCTACTGCATTGTTTCTTCTAATCTTTTGCTCTTACTTTTTCGCTAGAAAGAAAAAAGGTACGTTATGCTCTTGCTTCTTCACGTGCTCTTGCTTCTTTTAGACTTTCCTCGTTGCTAATTTTTTGCATTGGTTTCAACTTGCAGAGTTGCTATTGCTACTGTGTTGCTGGTGAGTGTTCGGCTTCAAGATCATTTTACTTAGTCTCTCTGCATGTGTTGAGCTTTTTAAAAAAAAAAAATAATAATTAGCTTATTAGTTATTACCTTGTTATTTCTCTTCTTTATCAGTTTCTTTCTTTTCTCATGCAGTTTAGTCCCTTTAATTTTTTCACTGCTTTTTAAACTATTAACACAAGTTTATTTTTTCCTTTTTCCCTTTCTTTTCCCTGTTAGCTTTTGCATGATCCTTTCTATTGTGGTACCTCCTGCTCTTCTTCGATTCTACCGTGTGGATTTTCTGCAGGCAAACAGGTTGATATTTCTGGTTCTCCTCTCTTCCCCCTTTCTTTTATATTTTACCATTTAGATTCCATCTCTTTTACATGTATTTTCTGCTACCTTGTTGGTTGCATGTTGTTTCAGTCTTGCTTCATTGACTTTTGAATTGTCGAACCTAGTTTGCTTCTTGCCATTTCTTGTTTGCTGCATGTACAAGGTGTTATTCTGCTCCTATTCCTGTTCTATTACACCTGAAGGAAAAAAATTAGAGGCAGCCGTGCGTTGCATGCTGAACTAGCTTTTGTTATTTATTTTATACATCTATTTCGTTTGTTTACTACTTATTTGTTAGCTATTAAATTTCCTACCTTCTGGCTCATTACTTGCTTATTAATTTTATTAATATTTTACAAACCTGTTCCTTTTTTTTGTTAATTGGTAAAATTTTACCTTTTTATATAGTCCTTTGACGTTGTACACTTTGAACAATTAAGGTGAATGGGTAGATGTTCTACTCGCCACAAAAGGTACGCAGAAATGCCATGCTTAGAAAAAAAATGAGCTTCTGCGCTATCGAAGAGAAGATAGGGTTGCCAAGAAAAAAGAAAAGCGCTTTCTCTCGCATATTCATAAGGTTCCACTTGGTTATGTGGAAACAGGTGTTTCTTTTCCTGAAACTCGCACTGTCCCGTGTGATAGTGGAAAGCAACCTTTTATGCGTAGCCAAATGCTAGAAAGTGGGGGCTTTAAGAACGGCCACGATAATGTCAGTGTTGTTGCTGAAGCATTACAATACATGTCATCTCATGAGTCTGCTTCCTTTAATCTTCACAGTCATTCTGCTTCCTCTTCTAGGGAAATGCATTGTGCACCAACAATAGGTATACTGGGAGGTACTATCAGTGTCGCCCTTTCCTGGCCTTTTTCTTTGTGTCCATTTCTTGCTTTTGAAAACATCCTTGCTCTCTTCTCCACTGATTGATCCTTCCATATTGTTGTTCTGTGCAAGTAAGTAAACCTTAATTTGCGACCGACAGAACTTCCGCTAATTGATACGGCTAATTTTAGGAGCTGTCAACCTACATCCCTCCATGGAAAAAGGAAAAGCTTAGGCTCCTGTTCTTTTACAGCTACGCC